TGGTGCTGGGGGATTGAACTGCGGTCCCTGTGCTTTGCTAAGCTTGTTCTAAGTAGGTGCTTTAGACCACTGAGCCATCTCACCAGCCCCCTTTGGGTTCATTTGGATGACACTGTAATTCACTATGTACTGTTTATATAATTTTTTCTTTTTTAATTAATTTTATTAAAAAACAAACAGCGGGCCAGCCCCTTCTGGCTGCGGAATAGAAAAGAGCGTTGATGCTGGCGGCAGCGATGAATTGTAGGAGGCGCTGGCTGCTCTGGGACTCTGGTGAGCGCGGCGGCTGCTGGTGGCTTCTTTGCAGATGTATTGCTGACCTTGAACATTGTTCTATTAGAAGATCGCAGGAGAGCTCAGCCATCAGTATGTCCAAGTACAGACTTATACTGACACCTGGCAAGGGTGCTTGGAACAAGGAGAACAGATTTTGCAGCTGGGTGGATCAGAAACTTAACAGCAAAGGACTGAAGGAAGCTCGGAATTGTGGGAAGCAACTCAAAGCACTCGACTTTGGGTTTGATCTTGTGTTCACGTCCATCCTTAATCGGTCCATCCACACAGCCTGGCTGATCCTGGAAGAGCTGGGGCAGGAATGGGTCCCCGTGGAAAGCTCCTGGCGTCTAAATGAGCGGCACTACGGGGCCTTGATTGGGCTCAACAGGGAGAAAATAAATGGCTTTGAATCATGGTGAAGAGCAAGTGAGGCTGTGGGGGAGAAGCTACAATGTGACCCCGCCCCCTACTGAGGAGTCCCATCCATACTACCATGAAATCTACAACGACCCGAGGCATAAAGTATGCGATGTTCCCTTGGATCAGCTGCCTCGATCTGAAAGCTTAAAGGATGTTCTGGAGAGACTTCTTCCCTACTGGAATGAAAGGATTTCTCCTGAAGTACTGAAAGGCAAGACCATTCTGATATCTGCTCATGGAAGTAGCAGTAGAGCTCTCCTGAAACATCTGGAAGGTATCTCAGATGAAGACACTATCAACATCACTCTTCCTACCGGAGTCCCCATTCTCCTGGAGCTGGATGAGAACCTACGCGCTGTTGGGCCTCACCAGTTCCTGGGCGACCAAGAGGCCATCCAAGCAGCCATTAAGAAAGTGGGTGACCAAGGCAAAGTGAAACAAACCCAAAAATAAAGTTTTTCCTACATGGTGGCTGGCCAGGAATAGATGTGCCGTGCATTGTGTTACGGGTGCTGATTTCACTCGTTGTCCCCTGATGTTTTTCAGATATTTCCAGGGTTAGGTGGTAGTTTGTAAGTTTATTTTGGTCCAGATAATGCTTAAAGGTGCATAAATACTTATGTCATAGCCTTAGGGGTTGGCTTCCCTGCTAGTCCTGTTTGAGCAGTCACTAAACGAGTAACCAGTGGGGTTTAATCAGGTCGTTTTGTTAGTTTCTGAGTTGGGAGAGTGACAAATGGAGCTAAAGCTTAAGGTATTCATTATTCAATAAATCAGACACCAACTCTACCAATAGGTAGTTCACTTTTTATTTCATAACATTTTCTAAGATGATAATGGATTACTGAATAATGTACAGTGCTTATATTTAATTCTAGTCTTTTCTTTTAGGAAAAGGAATGATTTGGTAGCTAAGAGCAGAGGCCCTTGGAGTAGGAAAGTCACCGATGATTTTCGTCTCAAGGATGTTGCCCAGCAGCGTAACAAGGTCCTGTCTGGAGTCCAGAGTTATCCTTTGATTGACATTTAGTAGGATTCTTCTTCACTAAAATGAGCAGGATAGACACAGCTATGGCTATTTATGATCCATTTTTTTGTTTTGTTTTTTGACCTTTAACTTTTGGATCCTTATAGTTGGTTTAAAAATAAAGTGCTGTGACTGACAATGAAAAAAAAGAAAAAAAGAAAAACAAACAGCAATGAGACAGTTCCAACACCAATTAGTAGGACAGTTTCAATAATTAATACATTGGATATTGTTTTCATAGTGGTTATTCATAGTACAAGATGCAGACATGATATCCTGTCCAAACACTTCCTTTTTCTTTCCGAGACAGCAGGGTCTTGCTCTGTAGTTTGGGCTGGTCTTGAACTCACTGTGTAGCCCAAGCTGGTCTTGAACTCACCCTGATCGTCTTGCCTCAGCCTCCTGAGTGCTGGAATTACGTGCAGGCACCACTGCGCCCACCTCTGCCTGTATAATTTGTAGGAGGTTCTTTTGGTAGTCTCAACACATTCTAATTTATTTATTTTGTACAGGCTCTCGCTATGCAGTTCAGACTCATAGTGATCCTCCTGTCTCAGCCTCCCCAGTGCTGGAATTAGAGGTGTGCACCACCGCACCTGATTTTGGAGCCAGCACAGTATGTAATACTGGGTATGGAACTGGGGACCTGACACTTGCCAGGCAGGCGCTTATGCCCCCAAGCTATCTCCCCAGCCCAGTGCATTCTAATTTATTTATTTATTTTTTGTGGAACCGGAGATTGAATTCAGGCCCTTGCGCTTGCCAGGGAAGCGCTTATTCCACTGAGCCATCTCCCCAGCCCCCTTACATTCTAATTTAAAAATAATTGTAGGGCTGGCGAGATGGCTCAGTGGTCTAAAGCACCTACTTGGAACAAACTTGGCAAAGCACAGGGACCACAGTTCGA